ACATGAACTAATTTCTCATTTTCCCCACCTCTACCCGAAATCCTGCTTTGGTGGGGTTCCCTTAAGGTGATATCGAAAGTTTACTTTAGTATTTCGACATCAGGAATCAATGAATTTTTCAACACTTGAAGGTGGGCACAAGCCTAAGAGAGAGCGTAGGCGATGTGTAGGCTTAAGTCTCTGTTGTTAACTTCTTTAGTTTCATGCTTATGCCAACAAATGCTTGAACTTGCCTAAAATGATCAGCTCGTCATGTATTCCTCAAATAATATATTAATCGAGCCACATACAAATGTTATACTTGTCAAATTAATCACATGGATATTTTAGACACAAAATTGAAACTTCAAGAGCTTATTACATATATTTTTTTAAATATATGGATCAAATAGACACCGTTCAGGGACTATTAAAACCCTTTTAAAATAGATGCTAAATAGGCACAATTCTGAAAGGGGTCAAGTCAAATTGCGACAATCAAAATAAAAAGAGAAAGATAGGGCGGACGATGTACCGACAACGCCTTACAGTGTTAGGAGGCGGCACTGTGCTTGATAGCCGACTTAGAAGATTGACAAGGATCAGTTAATTCTAGTTTAAATATTTTGTTTTAGTCTTTACTCTAATTAAGGTTGGAGGACCAAAATAGGATTTAAACTAAAATTATTTCAATTCATTTTTTTCTTATAAGCTAAATTCGTTTTGAAGTCTAAAACGTACGTTTAATACTCTTACGATACTTCATTTCAAATATTTCTCTATGTAGATATCTACTCATACCGAAATAAAATAAAATAAGTGCCTATGTTAGGTTTGCGTTAAATATTCTGAATAATAATAATAATAATAATAATTTTGGAAAAACTATTTTATAGTGGAAGTAAAAAAATAAAATAACATGGAAATTTAGATATTTTCATGAAAATAGTTCTTAAACCTACAAAATAACACCAAGTTAAAATTAATATTTTCAAAGATAATACTCTTGGAGAACCTTTTGAAAATGTCTTTTCATTCTTTTTTTTTTCTTTTGTGGAAATATTAATTTAAACATAAAGCCAAAAAAAAAAAAGATTTTATTTTAGGAAATTAAATAAGGTATAGGGACTGATTCTGAGATGGACCCGGGTCAGATCCGATCCGAACAATTCTAATCTTTTGTAGTGGTCCAATAATCAACTCCATTTTGGACCACTCTCACGTATCCGAATCTCGAACACAGGCCCACTCACCCGATTCATTGATGGTGATTTCCCAATGATTTCTAATTTTCTTCGACATCTCCATAGGTTCGACATTGATATAAGACGTCGGTCCATATTTATTACGTATCGTAGAAATATTGACAAAATAGCGGGATTGTGCACCAAAATATTAACGATACGAACACAAATATTAATAAAAAGAATTTATAGTAAGATTTCAATACTATTTTGTTCACCGTACTTTTGACTTTGATTCATTTTGGTCTATGTACTTTCAACTTTTGTTTGTTTTAGTCTATTTACTTTCGACACGTTTATTTGGTCCTTATACTTTTAAAAATTAACCATTTTGGTCACTTCATTATCATTTTTATCTCATTTCTTTCGATCATAATTTTAACACAATACTTCACATTCACTAAAGTTTTTGAAATATGGTCATAAAATGATTTCTATTGTGTCTAAAATTTGTGTTCAAATTTTGCAAATAGATACCAAATTGATTTTTTTTTTCTAAGTAGATAGACCAAAACAAATGTTTTGAAAGTGGAGTAGAAAATGCTTATCGCAGGTGTACTGTCAAATTTTAATAAAAGTGGTAAGTCAATATCGATATCATTATTTGGATTAGGTTTCTAGTTTACTCATGTACCACATATACAATCGCTTAATTTTATTTAGAGAATCAAAATCGAATAAACATGTAATAAAATAAAGATAAAATCAATAGGTAAGGTCCTAGGAAATTAATTTCACCTATTCAATTCAAACCAATTACTTAATTACTCAAAAATAAATAAACTATTCATTCTATAGGCTAAGAAATCTCAAAGCTAAACTGTCTCTCTCAAGTGCAAGCTATTTGCTTACTAATTAAGAACGCAATATCTCTATCTAGTTTCTATAACAAGACTTTATTACAAAAACGAGTATAGTATTGCGATAATTGACAAATATCTCCAACCAAGAGGTTGTGAGTTCGATCCTCCACCTCCACATGTTGTAAAAAAAAAAAATGTAAAGACTTTATTGAATGAATCTTTTAACAACTCCTAAAGTAAAGACTTTATTGAATAAATCTTTTAACAACCCCTAAATGGCTTCTAAATTTCTCTGATCTTAAAATTACTCCTTTAGTTATGCATCAGTAAACCATTAAGCATATAGAGACATAAATAGAACATTCATAAACATTCAATCAATCCATAAAGTTTAATGACTACGTCAATCTTTAAGATAAAGGAAATTAGCTATCATGTTAAATGTAAAACTACAAACTACAAAAATCAACGGAAAAAAATAAACTAAATCCGTTACGTTATTGATCGTCTCCAACTCAATCTCTACGATCCTGAGCTTTGAAAATCTAAGCTCCTTGATGCTCATTTTCCCTCTATTTTCGAGTTATCTCATGTTTTTCTCTCAAAAGGTAGGTAAAAAGTCTCCCTTGGCGATTGAAAAACCTAGTTTTAAAAGGTAAACTGTCACTATAGCATCATGGTGCCATAAGTGAGCGGCATGCCGCTGCACAGGAAAAAGGCAGGCAAAAAAAATGTTCGGAGTGCCACAAAGCTGGCCTTTTGGGCCAAATTTCTAGCTTCGTTCTTTCTTTCCTACAAGTGTTGCGACGTCTTTTCGGGTGCCCCATCATTGTTCTCTTCGGTGTATTTGGGCTCCAAAAATTGTTGTAATGTCTTTGTTGCTTGCTCAAGCTATGATTATCCTCTCAATTTGATTCATTTATGTCTCGTTTCCTCTCGATAATTCATCAAGTAACTAAAATAAACAAAAGTTAAAAAGTATATAAACCAAAATAAACCAAAAGCCAAAAAAAAATAGAACTAAAATAGTATTTAAACCCTATAATAACTTAGACAGAAACGCGTGATACTTATTTATTGATTTGAGTAAATTTGTGAGTTTGTTTATTTTTTATTTTTTAGCATTTAAATTCTTGATTGATACTTGTATTTTCATATTACATGCAACATGTTGGTTATCAAAGAAGTAGTGAAGCTTTTGCATGAGGAAGACGACGATCTCACAGATATCCAAGAGAGAGATGAGTGGATTTAGGGTTTGGGTATTGGGTTGGAAAGAATGGGCTTGGTGGATTTGGGCTTCAAAATGGGCTTGCTTCCTATTTTCTTTGTTTATAAGGCAGTTTACAAATTTGCAATTTCAAGAGGTTTTTTAGGGAGGGGATTCGAACCCGCAATCTCATAGTTGGAGGTATATACCAATTACCGTTGAGTTATGCTCGCTTTAGCGCAATTTCAAGAGGTTAATTAACATGGTAGAGAAGATATAATAATTTCTAGAACAAATTTTACTTTTTGACTTTTTAGGTTTGAACTTTGTTGTACGAAAAAGGTAATATTTTAACCTCCTACTCCATAATGAAACTAACATACTAAACACGTTAGATGATGATGTGCCAATAATGCTTATGTAGTTGATTTTAGATGACGAGACACGATTTCTTCTTCTTTTTCTTTGCAACCCTACTCTTGTGTAATTTGCCTTCCTCTTTCCCATTCACGATAATTCACTCTTCAAATTACGCACGAGTCCCCACCCTCGTGCAGCCCATTTTTGCATCATACCCTCCGCTCAACAATCCTTATTAAACTTTAGTTTACAAAAATGGATCGTTTTGTTGACTTACCTGACTTTATTATGATCAAATTTGATTAAACAAAGTCGTCACTCCAATGTGACGATTAACACCTTGTTTAAAGAGAGACATGCTTGTCATGTTTAAATGACAACAAACAAATCAAATTTGTTATGATTCATAATGTTCTTTTATAACCAAAATAAGTTTTTAGTTCAAAATAGGACAATCTCAGCCCTTTATTTTCTCCATCAATAAAATTCAAGTGAATATGTGAAGAAGAATTTTAACCAAAATAATAATAATAATAATAATAATAATAATAATAATAATAATAAAAGACAAAGATAATGGTAAACTATGATTGAATTTAATGTTTTATCACTCATTTTTCTAAAATTTGATGTTGATCCTTTCTTTTTCTAATACATAAAATAATATTGTGTCCGAGTCCGGGATCGAACGGGGGACCTCTACTTAATGAGACTAGTATGATAACCAACTACACCACCTAGAAACAAATGAAGATGAACCTTAAACTCTATCGACATTTAATATTTAAAATCTTAATTTTAATCTTTTAACAGTCCTATTAATCGTGAAAGGCACCACTTTGAACATTTAATCTTATAGAAGTTTACATTTTGCTTTTTACTTTAATCATTGAATTATGCTTAGACTGACTACGAATTCAAACTTATAATCCGTCATGTTTTTTTATAACAAAAAGAAGTTTTTAGTTCAAAATATGACAATCTCAATTTTTTATAATAAAATTCAAGTCATTATGTGAGGAAGAATTTGAACCAAAAAATAATTAAAATAAAAAAACAGAATTTTTTTTTTGGTTATTTTTCTAAAATTTGATGTTGGTCTTTTTTTTTTCAATTTAATACATAAAACAAAATTATGTCTGAGCCCGGATCCGAACCGAAGACCTCTAGTGTGTGAGACTAGTGTGATAACCAACTACACCACCCAGACATTGATCATATTGGTCTTTAGACTTTATCCAATTTTAACATTTAAAATCTTTAACGATCCTATTAAATTTTATAATTAATCATAAAAGACATCACCTGATCTTATAGAAATTTACATTTTACCTTAATGAGTTGAACTATGTTTAGATGGACGACGAATTCAAATTTACAATCGATAAAGGAGAGACACTGATATATGATAATTCCAAGATTATTGAAATTATTTGAGAATTACATAGGCCGTGGAATTCTCATCCTCTGAATATAGACCACAATTTTCTAATGGATAGATTGTTGTTATCAAGCATTAAATGCAACGATGGAAGAAATTTCCACATCATTTTCAAATTGAGAAAAATTACTAATATTACAACCATTTTTCATTTTTCGGAAATTATTTATATATATATTAAAAAAGAAAAAAAATAAAAAGGTAAAAACACACCTCAAAATTGAAGAAAGGAAAGTCAAATCAATCTTGTAATGAAACCACTCTCTTCAAACTTCCACCTGCATGTTACATTTACAATTGCCAATCCAAATCAAAAATCAATTTAAAAAAAATACATTAATTAGAAAAAAAACCAAATTTCACATTTTTTTTAAATGTCACTAGAAAGTTTAAAAAATTAATTTTATTTTGTGTATAAGAATTAAGAAATTAGTATTCATAAATTAAAAGAGGTCATCCATAAAAATAAACCATGAAAGATGAAACAGATTTTTTTTTAAGAAAAATAGTTTAAACAGCAAAGAACTATTTTTCAGTATAGTCTGGAATAAATTTCTTTTCACAATTGTAAAATCTACAAATTTGATAATTTGTGAAGATTAGTCTAAAATCATGACTTGTTAAAGATTAAAATGATTTCGAGTCCAAAGATGAAGATGAGGAAAATTACCTGAATTTGAACAATCAAAGCACACACTGCAAATACGAAGCAATCTTCTTCTTCATCTTCTTCTTCTTCGCTACGCAATTTCTAGAGCTTCTTCTTCTTCTGCTAATTTTCAGACCTAAAAATCTCAAACTCTATCTTCTGTAGATCAAAAAGAAGGGAAAAAAAAATAGAGAAAAAAGGGGAAAAAGCAAAATCGTTGTGTTGTTCATCTGGATTCTTGAGAATCGTCTTTGTCCGGGGCTTGCTGTTGGTGGTGGTGGTCCTCTAATGGGGCGGCGGAATCGTCCCGATTTTGGGCTAATTGGTGGTAGATTTGGGAAAACGACGGCGTATTCAACATCCCCCGGAGATTCCCCTCCTGCGAAAGCCCTAGCTCCAGCCCCGGAAGCTGCTGATTCCCTCCGGCGATAATCGTGGGGAAATTGAAATTCATCCCGGGAAACTCGAATCCATGGAACCCGAATTTGGGGTCGGAGGCGAAACCCGACCCGACGGCAGGCCAGAAGCCAGGGGCGAGATGGGATCTGGGCCAATTGGGGCGGGCGTCGGCGGAGAGGGAGGCCGGGGCGGAGTGGAGGGCGGAGGCGGGGACGGTGCCGGAGCCGGTGGCGGCGATGATGGAGGGCTCGGCCTGGTGGAGGAGCCACTGGATGGTCTCGCCGTCGGTCTTGTGGCCCAATTCGCGGGTGAGCTGGAAGACGCGGGCGGCGCAGAGGGCGGGCATGCGGATTCTGCGGCCGCGGCCGTCCACTTTCTTGTGGCGGTCCTTGTTGGAGGTGCGCTTGGGGGCCAGTTGGGTCTTGGTTTTGGGGCTGGGGGAAATAATATTGAAGTCTTTGACATCTGGTGGAGCTGAGGTCGAGGCCGAGGCTGTGGCTGTGGCTGATGCTGATGCTGGAGATGGCTGCTTCTCTGCCATGTCTGCTAATGGGTGGGGGTAGGGGAGGACCCAAGGGAAAAAAAATGGTGGGTTCCTCTCTCTCTCTGGGCTAATGGGGTTTATGAGAGAGATGAGATTTTGAGGAACACAGAAGAGAGAGAGAGGGAGATGGGTCCTCTATGATTGAGTTTTTGGAAGCTGACTTGGCTGCCCCAAGGACTTCTTCTTCTTCTACTTTCTTTCATTTATGAGTCAATTTCCCCCTCTAGAGGGGTGAGGCTTACAGTTTTCAACTACACTTTGAGCGGTTGTATTGGCGGCCCAAAGAGTGTAGTTGTTTAGGGTCGAGAGTTGAAAAGTAATATGGGTTATGAATGTTTAGTGTATGGAGTTAAAAGTAGTATGGGATTGTAAAATATGTGTTGCGGGTGCATAATTGGTTCAAAAGAGTGGAGTTGTTTAGTCTAGAGAGTTAAAAGGTAATCTCGGTTGTGGACGTATAATGTGGGGTATAACGGTCGAAGGAATTAAAAGTAGTGTGAGATTGTGAAGTTTGTGTTACAAGTGAATAATTGGCCTAAAGGTAGATTGTAAATTTAGTGGGTTAAGTAGTAGATTATGTTTAGGGAGTTAGTTGTAGATTAATTTGTATTTAGGGTGAAGAGTTATTTAATCTATGAGCAAAATTACAATTAGAGCTAGAGGGTGTGTTTTGTTTAATCTTTGAGATTTTAAAGAGTTGTGGGTCAAATTGTAATGTTGTGCCTATTTGGATTTTGTATTTATAAAAGTTTCTAACCCGGTACTTAACCTTTTAATTTTGTGTCTAATTGATCATTCTCATGTCGGGTATGATAACTATGTCTTTTAAGGATTACTTACCTAGTGAGTTTATTTTTCAAGCATGGTACGTAAGTGTAAATAAATGGGTATCATGAACAAATTAGATGCAAGAATTGAAAGTTTAGGTGTTTTTGATAACTATTTCTTTTTAATTTTCCGTTTTTAAAAATTAGGCTTATTTTTGTACAATTTTATTAGTGAGTATTTCCCTTCTTTTGAAAACATATTTCAACCCTTAACCAAATTTCATAAACAAAAACAAAATTTTGAAAACTACTCGTTTGATATTCAAAATCTGCACTAAATTTTGAAAACGCTTATAAGAACCTATTTAACAAAATAAAATAACACAATAGTGAAAGCAACGTTTCTAAGTTTGATTTTTAAAAACAAAAAATCGAAAAACGAAAGAGTTATAAAACAAAACTTAAGATTTATAGGACTATATAGGTTTTAGAAAGTTACCTATTAGAAATTTTGTTAGCAAAGGAACCAAATGGACAAACATCCCTAAAATGTGAAGGACCAAATTTGTAATTTCACAGAAAAAAGGCCAGATGCACAGAATGGTCCTTTATTGCTTAGGTAATTCTCAATATATTTTTTTCTAATTCCAGAAAAGAAATTCTCAGGTTAATAAATAAGGATATTATAAGTTGAGGGTAAAATCGAGCAGAACACCTGTCCATATCTGCAAGGCGCGAAAGCACAGGCGGTTACATATCTTACCCTGCGATGGCAGGATAGCACATGTCCGCTCCCACAGTACGGGGAGCACGCCGAGCCCTGCGACCTACCACCGGCAGGAGACAAGCTCCAGGCCTGTCGATGGAGGCGCCGCCCACTAGTTGTCGGGAGTGTACATTCCTGTCAGGCACCGTACAGCTTGGCGCGTCCCTGCCATCCCAACCGTCGTCCTTCCTAGTCGGCCATTTAATCCTATAAAAGGAAGGGTCCTTATCTTCACCAAGTAAGTGAAAAACTTGTCACTAACATTAAATGTTTCTTATCTTATTTCCTACTATGATTTCTAACTTGAGCGTCGGAGTGTATTAGGTAGAATACGACACTCGCGTCGAGTTTTCTGGTAGTAGGCTCATTTGATCATTGACGAAACCACTCGTCCGACGGACACATGAACCTCTCCCAAATTCGCCATCAACCTAGCTAGAATTTTGTTTTGAGTTTTAGGTACTAATTACCAAGCAATATCTTTGATTTAAAATCTACTTCAAGAAACATGGTAAAATTATACCTTTAAAGCCGGATTTTCTTTTTCCAAAAATTTAATTTGATTTTGAGTATTTAGTTAAGATTTCAAAAGTAATTTTCAAAATTGGAGAACTTAATACAGAAGATTGTTTTAGAAACAATTAAATTAAAAATAAAATTGCTATCAAATAGAATTCTAGAGGATAAATTGTTCAAATATATATGATTTTGAACTTTCAAACTTTAATTTTTGTCTTTGAAAACATTAACCCTGCTCATCCACCTTTTATTAAATTCTATATTGGTCTCTCATAAAAACCTAAATATGACAAATATCATCTTATGTCATATTTAATTTCCTTTCATATTAAATATGACAATTAAATGATTAAGATTGAGATTTTAAAATATCAGATATGGAAGGAAAAAAAAAAGAGTAGAACTTAAAATCAAAGTTTGGGATACTAAAATTAAAAAAAAGGGGTAAAAATTTAAAGTTTACAAATCAAAATATATTTAAAGCAAAAACTAGTAATTTTTTCTTCCAAAAAAAGGGAAATTAAAATCAATAATGTTTTTTTTTCCTCTACCATTTGCCTAATATAAGTCTATGACATGAAGGCTTTTGATGGCATTATCTTAGTGGGGGTAAGTTTCTTCCTTCCTTTCTTTATCATTTTTTTAAAAGAAAAAAGATCAACATTTATTTATTTACCAAAAGTCAATATTAATTAAGTGTACTTTGTGGTTGAAATTAAATTGGAAATATTTAGAATTACTTTTAATTTGGTTGCAATAA